CAACTGTTTCTCACCTGTGAAATAAATTAATTAAATTAATTTTAATACATTATTTTACCAAAACAATTCCATTACTTTGCATGTCCTAAAATAAGGTGATTATTTCTCATTCAAATGGTCAGTGTAGATGTAATTGTTATTATAAACCCCACACTTTTGTGGGTAACATGTTAGGTTTACCACCCTTCACTAAGGATATTCCTAAAACTTTATATTTCTGCCTCATCAGGATAATAATGAATTCTTTTTTAATGTCAGCACTGACTCAATTCTATTTTTGTAAACTTTTGGGCAATCCTTATAATCCTATTCCTAATTTTTGACAGAGAAATAACTTCATGAATTTATACATGTATTTAAATATGTTCTTCTCTATACTCAAATGAGTAATTTGAATTAAAATTACTAATGTTAAGTCACATTGCTATATTCTAAAATGCTTGCCTGACCTGCAGGAGTTACTCTGGTGGGCTCACTAGCCTATATGGATTCCAGTATTGCTTCCTGGTAGTATAAGCTGAAAGCTGTGTAGAGTTAATTAAATGAGATGAGACATTTGCCTTTAACATATGTCAGAGCTCTTTCTTGATTTAAAAGTTCATGTAACATTTACCACTCAAACTCAAAATTTCTTTTGCTCTAGGATTGTCATTTTTATTTTTTGTCAATTTTTTTTTTAACATTTTGTTTCATTTGAGCAGAAGAGTCAAATGTTTGAATGGGCTTGCAGTTAGTGCTTTGCTGGTCATATTCAGATTTTACTTATGCGAATCATTTGAGGAATGATGGTTCTTCTCTGTACTTTGAACAAAACTGAATAGTCACTGTTGAGATGTACCTCATAAAATCTTTCCCTTCAATGGTGTTATTGCTTATGGTTTATACAGTTAACTTTGTTGAAAGAGAGACATTAACAATTGTGATTCAAATTTTCAGCTTACTAGCTCATATTTCATAGTTTAGTGCTGAGAAGTTATGCTTCCAACCCAAAGACAAGCAGTTCAAATCCACCAGTTGCTCCATGGAAGAAAGATGGGCAATCTACCCCATGCCATTTACAGCCTCTGAAAGCCTGCTGGGAGGTTGCTAAAGTTAGTTCAAACTTAAGAACATGTAACAACAACGTACAAAAGTAAAGGAGGCATAGTCCTTAGAGTTTCACGTCTGAAGACCATGCTGCTTTGGCCATTTTAATCCACTGGTAACTTCATAGGAAAAAGATGAGCAATATCTCTTGTAGCTTCAGAAATTCACTTTTAAAGGCATTCCATTTTAATCCACCAGATACTCTATAGGAGAAAGATGAACAAACTCTTCCCATACAATTTACACTCGAAATGCACTGGAAGATCAGCTATGAATTGGTTCTGACTCAATGGCACAAAACAATGTATTTAATTAGAGATTTCATTTCAGGTTATAAAAGTAGTTGAATAAAGAATCACAAAATATATTCAATAGGCTTTGGAAAACATTGGAGTTTTAGGTTCCAAAGAGGTTTTTTCATAGGTAGCAAATATTAGATTTTAATAATTTGAAAAGTATTTATAAATAAATTTCTGCTTCAAAGTCTTATAAGTTCTCACTTTGAGATCATATATTATTTTCTATTTATAGATACACACATGTGGACAATTTAAATTTCTTCTGCATCCATCATAATGTTGCCTGTTGGACTAGTGGAAAGAATCTTTATTTACCTGACATTCAGATGCAGTCCATACCAAAGGCTGTATTCCTTGATCTTCCACAACAAGTGCTTCAGATCTTCCTTACTTTCAGCAAGGAAGATTGTATCATCTGCATAACACAGGATATTAATGAGTCTTCCTCCAATCCTGAAGCCACATTCCTCTCCATTGGGACCAATTTCTCGAATAATTTGTTCAGCATACAGAGTAAATAAGTATGGAGAGAGAATACAACCCTGACACACTCTCTTCTTAATTTTAAAACATGTGGTGTTCCCCTGCTTTGCTCATACAACTGCTTCCTGGTCTAGTTCTAGGTTTCACATGAACACAGTTATGTGCTCTTGGACTCTCATTCTTCTCAAAGTCAGCCACAACTTGTTATGATCCACACAGTGAAAACCCTTTGTATAGTCAATAAAACAAACATAGACATTCTTCTGGTATTCTTTACTTTCTACCAATATCCATCTGACATCAGCAATAATGTCTGATTCTATAGCCGCTTAGAAATTCTGCTTGAACTTCTGGCGGTGTTTTAATAATGTACTGTTCTAGCCAGTTTTGAAAGATCTTCAAAATACTTCAGCAGTATTTTGCTTGTGTGGGATAGTAATGATATTGCTTGATAGTTTCTACATTCAGTTGGATCACCTTTCTTGGGAATGGGAACAAATATGGACCTTTTCCAATCTGTTGGCCAGACAACTAACATACAAATTTCCTGGTATAGACTGGCAAGCACATCTAAGGCTGTATCTGTTAATTGAAACAAGTCAATTGTTATACATCGATTCCTGAGATTGATACTCTCAACTTCATCTTGCTTGGATTGACAATTAACATCCTTGGTACCAGCAGTCAGGAAAGGAGGAGACACATTGCACTGGAAAATCTATAGTTAGGAACCTCTCAACATTGTTGAGGAGTAATGATGTCAGTTTGAGGACTAAGGTGCATCTGATTCAGGCCATATAGTCTTTTCGATCACTTGCTGTGCATCTGAGAGCCGGACAGTAAATAAGGATGATAGAAGAATTGATGCCTGTGAGCTGAGATGTTAGAGAAGAGCACTGAACATACACCATGGACAGCCAAAAGTCTTGGAGATGGTGAAACTGGAGTGTGCTTTGAGGGCTAGAATGAAGAGGCTTCACCTCACATACTTTAGGCATGTTGTTAGGAGGCCAATTCCTTAGAGAATGGCATGATGCTAGGAAAGGTGGAGGCTCTGTGAAGGAGACCCAGACCCTCAACCAGGTGGTTTGATGCAGTGACTGCTTCAGTGGACTCTTGTGTGTCAGGAAGTGTGAGGATGACACAGAATAGAACAGGGTTCAGATCTTTTGTTCATAAAGTTGCTATGAGTCATATTCGATGTCTGGACACTGTGCCTCACTGAAGACCATGGCCTGGGACAGCACCTTTAGTTTCAGTGCTGCCACTAATGCTCCCCTCCCCTCTACCAAGTGGTCAGACTGCAACTTGAAGTAGGCATCAGTACTCTCACCCTTTACAAATGGAGACGGGGCTTTGAGAGTGGTGAACAGACCCTCCCTATGTCTAAACAGTTCTTGGCAGCAGTAGTCAAGAAATCAAAAGATGTGGTATATTGAGGAAATCTGCCGTCTCAATTTTTTTGTTGTTAAGTGTCATTGAGTCGTAGACAACTCATAGCAACCCCATGAATCAAAGACCTGAACACTTGTACAACTTCCATCATTTACCTAAATTCATAGAGTTTCTAAAGGCAAGCTTTTTAGGAAATGGATGCCACTCCTGCTTCCAAGCCTGTTCCAATTGGGGAGCTCCACCAGACATTGTCCACCATTGGTAACCAATATTTCATCTGTCACTTCAGTGTCACAGTGTTTAGCACCACAGCAACCATGAGTCACCTCTGTATAACAAATTGGCAGAGCAGTGATATATTACTTAGAAAAGTGTTTGACCAAAACCAATCAAAATCAGGCCCGGGGGCCGTAGATTAAAATCTCCGACCTTTGGGTTGGTAGCATAACTTTCTATCCTCTACACCCACAGAGATCTCTCTATGGCTCATAACAATTCTATGAACCACAAATCTAGTCCTTGTCCTATCCTACACCATTCCCATTATCCGAGACATGCTCATGCCCATTGCTACAGACACCTTATCACTCCATTGTGTTGATGATCTTCTTCTCTGACCTGTCCAAGGAAATCTTCACTGACAACGAGATGCTTTCCCATATCAAGTTCTTCACCTCCTGTGGCTCCATGGTGCCTCCCTGCCATGGGGGCCTCCAGCTCCTGGCATCTACAGCCATCAGTAGTGCAGGGTCTCCACCCATGTTCTTTCGAGAATTTTTGTCCTCTTTTTTTTTAAAGACTTTTCTTTTTTATTTTATTATTTTGTGTGTGTGTTGTGTGTACCATCAAATTAGATCTGACTGGTACAGGAGGAGATTGTTCCTCCTTCTCCAGCAAAGCATCTGGTGAATTTGAACCGTGTAACTCTGGGATTGCAGTACACCTCTTGCCACTAGGCCACCAGAGCTCGCCGAGAATCTTTGTCCTCTTGATGCTGAGCTTCAGTCCACATTGATGACCAGCCATCTGCTTGGCTGTTTGGGTATATATAAGTTATGTGGCCTGTTTCAATGCAGCTTGCTGGGCTTCCTATTCCTCACGTTGCGTCTCTTGCCACCACCATCTTGGTCAGTGTTGTTGCTCTTCAGCATTCTGGAGAGATCCATGAAGCAGACTTTTCCAGTGCAATTTGTTGATTGTGGATCCAAGCAAGCTAATAACCTCAATCTCTTCTCCATCTATCATGATGCTGCAAATTGACCCAGTGGTGAGAATCTTTGTCTTCTTGCTGTTGAGCTTCAATCTACACTGAAGACTAGTTCTTGACCTTTTGCAGCAAGTGCTTCAGGTCTTCTTCAATTTCAGCAAGCAATTGGCAATCTCATCCCATGCTAGTTACTGCCTCTGAAAATCTGCTGGAGGATCAACTATGGCTCGATTTCAAGTCAGCTTGTTGGTATTCAACAGTATTATTTATGTAGAAGATTTATATATAAGTAGCATATGTATTCAACAATTGCTTTGTGGTGTGTTTTTTATCAAACAACTTCCTTTTGCATTATTTTCTTATGAGTGCTATGTACAACATCTGTGGGGGAAAAACTTAAAAGGTATTTGTACTTGACATATTGAATGTAAATAATCATTATTACATGTTTCCAAGCACAAAATTTTGTATACCTACATGAATTTATCTTTCTCTTTTTATTTTATCAAATTATAACCTTGGACTGTCAGAGTGATGACAAGAATTTCAGGCGTGGGTCTACCTGGAGAAGGCAGTTCCCTCCTCGTGAAGTACATGGAATCAGCATGATGCCTGGCTCCTCAGAAACCTTACCAGCCGGATTTAGGTTAACCACAACATCTGGGCAGTCAAGGAAAATGGCAACAGATGGTACAGTCATTTTGCACTTTTGCTTCTAAAGTAAAAAGCTTGCATAGCAAAAGATGGACAATCTTGCCTAGCCTTCTGGTATTGGTCTTCCTTGAGTTGGTTTGCTGTGCTTGGAATTGGCTTTGCTTTTATCAAAATGCAGACTCCTTCATAAACTGCTAATGCATGAATTCATGGCACTTATTCACATTTTTAAAAATTGATAGCCTCCTAAAAAAGAACAATTTTGCTTAATGTCCACATGTAGGAAGAACAATAAATGTTTCTGTAATTTGTGTCTCATCACCCTTCAATTTCCAAATGATGTAACTGGAGTTAGCGGTTGAGTTAGGAATAAAGGCAATGGATGTTCATCCTACACTTCTGAGTATTGCCAAGTTTTATATTTCATATTGGAAGCTCAAATGTATCTGATACTGTCATCTCTGACCTCTGTGGATGGCCTTAAATAAACATGCATGATCTTGAGAAAATAATTAAAGAAACACAAAACAATCAGTGTTTCACAGTTCATATTTCCTTGTGTGGACATTAGGCTTTATACTATGTATTTCACAAAGAAAAAAAAGGAAAACCCAAACACTAGGCAGAGTGAAAACTTTGATATGGTAGTCACAAAGTTGTTTCTGCATGGCAGACAAAAGAGGAATGGAAAAGCACACATTCACATTCTCCTTATTAAAATAGTCATAGGCATTCGTTTTCAGGGTCAGCCATATGGTCCTTAAAATTAGAGTCAACATAAAACTCAATTTTAGATATGAATTTTTTCTAAATTACCAATATTGGGAAACATGTTAGCAAAATTAATGAGGAGTTTAACATGGTTTAAAATAATTTACAAGGTCTTTACTAATTGGAGAAGGAAAAAAAAATAGATACTCCCTGGGTGACTTCTCTAAGAAAGATATTGACTTCAAAAACAGAAGCACCATGGGTTGCTGAGCTGTTTTTGTTATACATTTCATCACTACAGGAATATGCTCCAATCTAAAAGCTCAGTTGATTTTGCAGTAGAATCATTTTTCATTAATAGTGTGGTCTATAGAAGAGGAATGTGAGTGGCTGATGTCTGAGAGAAAGTTTGTTAGGACACCGAAGGTCCCTTCATACAAGAAAAAGAACTCTTTCTCATTTGAAATTTTGCACTCAATCAATCTGAGTCCTGCTAAAGCCCTTTTCTCCATTTGCAGTTGCTTCATCAAGACTGCAGAGGTTAGACAACTCCACTGTTCGTACATACTCATGTTGACAAGCCACTCAAAGGAGGCAGCACTGACCTGCTGTGAGTAGTTTCCCTTGACGGCCCAAAAGCAAAGTGCCAAAAACTGGAGCCTACACAAACTACTAAATATACTTCACAGTCTTGACATTGGCCTGGCAGTACAGAAGTGAGATAGTTAAACCCTTTGCATTTCCAGGTGGTGAAAGGGATCATGCTCTGTCTGCCATGATTTAAATCTCTGTGGGAGGCCTGCCACTGAATTAGTCCAAATCAATGGGTTCCTTGTACCCTGTCTCCTAGTATTTTTGTAATGATCCATATTAGCAAATTATTGATGAGAGTTTGACACCATATAATGTATTTTAAGTGCTTTTGTTTTTTTCTAGAAGGAACTGAAGTAGGCAGAGAGATTAAAGCAGCTCGCGATACAGTGGCAAATAGGAAAATGATGGCTTCATCTTAAGAAAAGAAAAAGTAGTAGCCAATTCAATTTTGAACCATTAATATGCTGATTTTCATCAATGCAATTTGCATTTGTTGAAAACGGATATGAATTTTAAGTATCTGTAGCTCTTACCACAGAAATAAAATAACATTACTTTTTAAATATTGAGGGAGAGGACTAACATAAAGCCCTATCATATCACTTGTGTTATGAGAGATATTTATTGATAGAAGCACCTTCTAAATTTTTATACAACAGTCTTGGCAAAACAATAATTTTCAAGATGTACCAATTAGTGCAAATGTTGACAAAAATAATTTTTAACAATAACAAATATGAAACTGTGATTTGACACAATAGTCTATATTATCAAGAAATATATTTTTTTAAAAATGCTTGTTAGAGTGATATTCAGAACCAAATGTGTGCAGAGGATAGTGAGGGAAGCAATTCTAGGCAAAGCAAGAGTGTACTTGTGCTATTTATTCATTGCTTTGAACTAAGAGCTTCACATATTATTGTCCTTTTAAGCTTAACATGGGGACTGGTTAACTATGCTTAACTGTGCCTTTTGGGTCACAATTAAAACTTATGATGATTTAAAAAAATAAATTCTTTAATTTCAGAATGCACAAGCCTAAAATTAAAAAGTGTAGTCAGGATATACAATTTAATATTGCTTAATAAGGCAATACCTAAGTGATGTACTAGTTTGGCTTAAGAAGCTTTCCAAAACACTGATGATAATAGTTTCTACTTATAACAAGACCGTTTCCCTGTTCCCTAGTAACTACACACTTTATTAATTTACAAATGACTGCCTAAGGTGTTCAGCAGTGCTTGCCTTTTTAAGTCTTGATTGATGGGTAGAATTACTTTTTATCTATTTGCAATCTGTATTTTGTGCATGGCATTCTAGTTCATATTTCCAAGTTTTCAGTATTAGAATTGATTAAAGTATTCTTGTAATATGCAAACTTAAGGAAATGAATTTTAATTTTCAGTAAAAATTACAGTATTTTGTAATTCAAGTAGTACAGGACATATTATTTACTCCTTTTGCAGTGTATGAATTACGATTGTGATTTTCATAATGACTTCATAACTAGAAAGGATCAAAGATGTCACAACTCAGATTCAGATCCTTTAAAAAAATATAAAGTAACATTTGACTTTGTCAAATTGAAAAAGAAGTTACCTATTTAAGAACTCTAAACTATGAACTAGAATATAAACCTGTTCCATGGTATAGGTCAACCTCACACAATGTTACAATGAGCATGCTTTAAATTTTCCAAAAGGCATGCAGGCATTTTGTGAATAATTTTATTTATATTTATGCCATATTTTCCTCAAAGTTAAGTTCCTATGTTCTTAAAAAAAAAAAGAAGAAAATGTTAATTATGTGCAGGTTACACATTGGATGGTTTCCTTTTCATTGGTGGTTATTGTTAGGCCAAACGAATTCAAACTGCAAAAAAGCAACATAGGTATGATAGTAGGGTCTTAAAATCAGAGACTTTTCTATGAACTAACATTGTCCATTAAATATTGTAGATGTCATCTTTTCTGCCTACTCTACCTAAAGTGCGCTAACCATCAAAGACGACAAACAGCAAAACCTTTGTGAAGACTGAATTCTAAAGAAATAATGAAAAGTAACAGTTCATTACGCTGAAAATGTAATCTTGAGAAGAGTCCGTTATTGCGTTTGATTAGTTTGTAATAAAATACTTAAGTCATTTGAAGAATAAACATCATCCACACCATAAATTCTGTGCAACAGATGCTTTTATGAAATGGAGCCACTTGTTTTTCTCATGTTTTATTGTAATATACTAGGCATTTATGTATTACTGTGTATGTATTTTTTTTAAATGTGTAAGTCTTATGTAAATGGATATAAATATGATTTTTTAAAAAATAAAATATATGGTTCATGGAGTCTCGAGTGCAAACATTTGACAATTCCAAGTACTGTTTGTATTTTGCCATTCCACCTTTTTACTGTTTTTGAATTGTTACCAGTCAAATCCATGTTCACTTGAAGCAGGAAATATGCTTTCTCATGTTCCTCCTTCAAGTCTGTCAATACTTAAAGCTGAACACCTGCCTCTGATCATGTATAAAAGAATGATATAACCTGGAACTGGAGCCAAAAAAAAAAGGACTTTTAAAGGCAATCAGGGATGCCCTTTATCTTTAGAAAAGCACTGTGATGGCTCGATCTCTTTTTCATTACAAAACAAAGCCAAACTGTTTGTAAAAGTCAAAAGCAATTGTTTTAAAAAAAAAAAAGTTTATAAAAGGAAACATTTATCTTCTCTTATCACCTATGGACCAAGAAAAAACAAAACACTTCTTTACTGAAGAAACACATGTTCCTTCTAATAGTAAAAATCCTTTGACTTTCCAGCCAGCACTGGACAGTGAATGTCAACCACTGTACAGTCTGAGGCTCATTCACCACTGGGGAATAAATTCCTCAACCTCAGAAACCCTCCCCTTTTGATAATGTAACAGGGCATTAGCCAGACTCATGTCTAACTCTCAAAGCTTTCAGCCAAGATGGCCTTCTTTTGACTTCTGGAAGTCCGTTTTATCAGAGGAACTAAATGGAAGACAGAATGATTAACATATATAGTGTATAAAAGTATAGAAGAGTAATCTCTTCCCTGTGGTTTTATTTGGTGGTGTTACTGTTGTTTATTCTTTGTTTATATGGGAAATTTCAAAGTAAAACCTATTTAATAATACCATTTATCTAACTGCTGATTTTTCTGCTGCTTGATCTTATTAAGCGCAAAATCTGTCATTAGGTTTTTTCCTCCTTTTTTTGTATTTTATTTTGCTATGTTTGCACGTACATTTGTTTTTACGTCTATTTTTTTGTTTAACAGATAGAGTCAAAAGTTTAAATGGTTACAGAAACCCTCTCATTGTCAATAAAACAAATACTTGCAATTTTCTGTCTTAAGTTTTGTTTAGTAGTCGTTAGTCGTTGATGATCTAATAATTTACTTAAAAGACAATGAAGAGTTATTTAGTGAGTAAGAAATGGGGTAGTTCTGGTTCTTAGGTGGGTAGCAAGTTGTGTGTCTCAACCAAAAGCACCTCCAAAGCCATCAGTGCTGTGAGAAACAAAGACGGCCTATCTCTTCCTGTGGGATTTACAGCCTCCTAAAGATCCACTAGAGGGTCATTTTGGAACAGACTATATACCTGGACACCAAGTTTGAGTTTCTACAGAAATAGTTTTTGAGGTGAGTCTACCACTAGAGGGAGTACTAAACTTGTATTTGGAAGTAACTAGAGTTTCTCAAGAAGTTGCCAGAAACAACGGGGAGAAAGCTTTTTAAGCTCTTCTGAGAGAGAAGAACCTGATTTATAGGAATGGAATATAACATATAAACTATTACATTATTATCATGTAAACTAGATTTGTATATACTCTTATACATGCCCTTTAGTCACAAAAACCTGTTTCTCCTTCTAGGAGAAAAGGTGTTGACATTACCATGTAAAACAGAGATCCAATTACTTTCTTCAAAAATACTAGTAATTTTTTCATTTTTGCCTTTTAATTTTACTGTAGATGTATAAAACAGAGGTCATTCATAGTTATTATGTCTTAAAACATTAAATATGAATAAGGAAAAAATTAAGTAAATATTAATAAAAAATTTTAAAAACCTAAAATATGAATGATCAAAATAACTTATTAGATTTTTAAAAGATTTCATATTTTGCAAATACTAATTTTTAACAGTAAAAAATGTCTTTAAGAAGAAAAAATAAGATACCATGCAAAATTGCTTTTGACAATTTTAAATCAGATTGCATTTTATTAAGATTTTATTTTGAAACGAACATTTAAATTCTTTTTATCATGAGTATTAAAATAGAGAATTTGATATTTTTCTCGGCAAATTTTAAGCAACCTGATGACTGGAGTTCATCTTGCTTGGAACATTTTTTTTTCTCACTTCAAAGTAAGAATAATTTCTCACCCTGCAAAAGACACAGATATTCTTGGACAGATACAAGTAACAGCCACTTCTTCAGTCTTAAATTATTTTCTAGTAGAGTGGAATCAGAAAATAATGTGTAAAAAAAAAAAAGAAAATAATGTGTACGTCTTTTGGATAGAATTACCAGAAAATGTGCATGGGGCCTAAAAATACAGCCAGTAGACAATCCTTAGTTCTCCTTGAGTTTATACCTTGAAAATGAACAATGAGATACAATCAGCAAAATCTGTCATTTCAAATAACTGAATTTTGTATGAAGAAAAAAACCCTATGACATTTTTAATGCTACAACATTATACTTTCTAAGGCACTCAACATAGGAGAGACTGTGCAAGGAAACTAGGTGATTAAAAATACAAATTGAATCTCCACCTGATTAATTCAACTTACTAATAGAGTCATCTATATATGACTATTTTTTTCAGGTGTGCAAAGCAAAACGTTAAACAAATATAGATTTACTCTGAGAAGTTACTCATTTTGTAGCCAAAATTTCATAACGTTTTCAGAAAGGGATGGTTTCTGCACAGGTTATAATAGCAATTTCTATAGCACCCAGGTGACACCATTGTTAAGTGCTCAGCTGCTAATGGAAAGGTTAGTAGTTCAAACACAACAGTTGTCTTTCAGAAAAGATGGCTGCTTCATACAGATTACAGCCAGGGGAACATTAACATGCATTTCTATTCTGTTCTACATGGTACTGTGAGTCAGAATCAACACAATGGAAATGAGTCTTGGTTTTTGTTATTGTTTCTAGTGGTTTAGTGGTTAAATTGTACTGCTAATCCAGTGGCAAGTGGTTTGTATCTATCAGCTACTCCTCAGGAGAGAGACAGCCTTTCTCTTAATGCTATTTATAGCCTCTGACAAGCTGCTGGCAGGTCAGCTATGAATTGGTTAAGACTCTACAGCACATAACAATAGCAACAACATTATTTCAAGTCATTTGTGGGAATAATAAGTATGGAAGCTATTATCTATTCTCTTTTTAAAAATACAGTTGACAGAGAGCTCTGGTGGCCTAGTGGCAAGCAACTGTGTGGCAATCCTGAAGGCACGTGGCTTGAATCCACCAGATGTACTGCTGGGGAAGGAAGGGCAATCTCCTCCTGTTTTAAATATCTCCATTTTAGATCGTTTCTTATTTGTCCATTTCTATCTAACCAGTACTCTAAGGAAACAAGCATATCCATATCCCTTTTGCTGAAGGATTTTCTGTTCAATTAGGAAACTCTGAGCATCTGTTATCTACAGCGAAGTCTAGTTCAGAGCATCCATCAGGTTGCAGCAATCAACACTAGCACACATCATGGATTATCTTCTCTTCATCTGGTTGGGTTCTGGGCTACTCCTCCCCAGCCATCTGTGGCTAGGTTCAGATGGACAACAGCCACAGACTTTGAAGTCCACACTTGTCCCTGCATTCCAGACCTGTGGGTCTCTTCACTCAGCCTTAACCCCTACATTGGGTTACGTTAATTAGCCAGGGTTCAGCATTACTCCCTGCTCCTCAAGCAAAATCCTTTTTAGGTTATCCATACATCTGTGCTTGCGAGGTGGATTGTGATGAAAGAGCACCTATGAGGTCAACCTGTTTCTTTGTTGCTGTATTCCTCCTCTCCTACTTCTACTCCAGCAGACCCAGGTGATTGCTTCAAGTGAGCATACTTGCCAGCTCCCTTTAACTTCAAATCCTAGAAGTGGGCTCAAAGGAACACCAACTTTATCCTGTATCAGAAGCCAAATGGCTTGTACCAGTTCTTAAAAGTCTATCCCTTCTCCTTCCCCCCTCCCCCTTCTTGTTTCTCTTTTCCTGCTTGTCTTTCTTTCAAATGTGAATCTCTTAATTCAAAAGTCCAAGGTGGTGCTACAAATCTATTCAAATGCAAATCACCTCAGAATACTGGGTAGGGCTCACTATTTCCCCTCACCTAAGCCCCAGCAGCCACTACCAAATTCTACTTTGGAAACTGCTCTTGATGATAGTATTTCCAGTGGACTGAAGGTGCAGAAGGGCTTTGTGAACCATCAAAAATTTCATTTGAAATGGTATATAATTTTGTGATTGTTTAAGTGGTTGTTTCTTGATAGTTATGTAGAATCCTAAAGGAAATGAAAAATTACCTAAATTACATAATTAGCTATATCCAAGGAGTGTCTTCCCTCTAAGATTTATGGTTTCAGAGGCATGGCAGAATGTCATTATGATATGGAACAACTGACTCCATAGCAGTTTAGTTTTCACTTACAACTGACTTTGCTGTTTGTTTAAGGACACTAAGAGGAGCACTGGTGCCACAGTGGTTAAAATACTGTTACTTAGCAAAAGGTCAAGAGTTTGGATCCATGGGCCACTCCACAGAAGGGATGGCAGTCAGCTTCTTTAATGAGACACAGCCTTGGACACCCAGAGATAAAGTTCCACTCTCATTTTAAAGTCACTGTGCAGGAGAATCGACTCCGCAGTAGTGGGTGTGGGTTCTTCTTAAAGATTTTGGGTGACACAAACTACTTACAATTAGCTAGTAACTAAAAAAGTGAAAGATCTAACACATGCCATGATTCTAAGGAAGAAAAGGCTGAAAAATATGTTTTCATACAGCCAAGGAAACAATGCAGAGGGAGCAGTTCTATTATGCAATACTTAGGATGGCCATTAACTAGAAGCCAACTCTACAGCAATAAACAGGATGTATTCTGGCTAACAGATGATTGTTGTTGTGTGCTCTTGAGTTAGAACTGACTCACAGCAGACCTGCCAGTGGGATTTCAGAGGCACTTATTCACACGGGAGAAGATTGCCTAGCTTTGTTCCAAGGAGCTCCTAATAGATTTATTTATTTACAAATTGTTGTTGTTGTTATGTGCCGACGAGTCTCAGGCGACTCATAGCAACCCTATGTACAACAGCCCTAAACTCCGCTCTGTCCTGTGCCAATCGCACTGTCTCTGACACTCCCATCCCAATTATCCCAGTCACTGAATCAATCCACCTCATAGAGGGCCTTCCTCTCCTGCGCCGTCCCTCCACCCTCCCAAGCATGATGTCCCTCTCCAAGGACCGGTCTCTCCTCACTACATGTCCGAAGTAAGTTAGACGGAGCCTCAGAATCCTTGCCTCCAAGGAGCCACCCAGTTTAACCCTCTCTTATGTGAAATCTCTAATCTTTAAATAATTCACTAGAAACCTCTGATATCCAAAGTCATCTTTCCATTTCCAACTTCTACAAAACTATATAGTGCCTTTTAAAAATAACAGAAATGAGTCTTTGTTAATAAATTAATCTCTTATTTACAAATAGATTAATATCAGCGGTTTCTAGTGAAATTATTTAAAGATTAGAGATTTCACATAAAAATCTTGGTCATGGTCTTCTCTTAAAATTCAGAAATTCCTGCAATAAAGGACCTGTCTTTCCCTCTCCACTGCAATATTCTACTGGGAAGGTCCACATGTTTATATGGAGCAGGAAATGTCAAGTTCTTACCTGTCTCTATTGTTTTCTAGTAATAAGGCCAGGATGTATAAGATTGTAAAAGATTATGGAATCACTGGCATTTTATACTCTGCCAGGTCACTAGGACTGAATGATTTTTAGCATAAAGTAAACATATTTTTAACTTTCTTTTAAGAAATTTCCTTCTACTTTACCTCTATTTCTCTATTATTCCCTGTGCTGTAGAAGCAAAATGCATAGGAAGCAAACCATTTATTTCGAATCTGAGACACAATGAGGTTCTCACTTTTCTTTGTTTTCTTGTCTTCTTGACAAATGGCATTGCTTTAAAATGAAACACAACTCTCTGCAGGCATGTAAGACTTTGCTGACAAAAAGCAAATGATGTGAAAATGGAGGAGAAATGCCATTGGTCAACATACCACTGGGAGATGAATAGTTAGGGAGGCCTTCCAAACTAGAAAATAACTTTATCTGCCTAGGTACTTACTTAAAAGGGCTCATCAAATCCACACTTTAATTGGGTTCAGCCATGTGGGCACCTCAAGAATGTTAGAGCTGAATTTCAGATTTTGAATAAAAAATATCAATTCTCTATTTCTAGAAGTATTAATATCACTCACAATTAAGTTTGCTGTGTTTTTTATTTGTTTTTGTTGCTGTTTTAATGGATTTCAGCCTTTAGAGCCATACATTAGCTATTTTTTTTTTAAATCCTGGGAAATAGATAATATAATAGTGGGACATTTTACAGGCAGATGAAAACAATGTCAATTGCATCTAATTAAGCAGATGGCAGTCTTTTGACAGTCTTTTAAACTTGTCTTCAAGTTCATTTTTATGCCCTAGACTTTAAAATTAACATTTGAGTTTGCAAGTAAGTAATTTCTACTTAACTCTTTATTTAAGACAAACATGTATACTCAAAATAGGGGAAGTCAAGAAGTCTGCTTCAGCACATCTTCTATTTGTCCAAAAATGCTGGGGTCCTCAATTGTAGGAGTTATCTGAAAAAAAAAATTAGAGAGGAATACGCTTACTTCAGACTTCTCTGTTATTACTAAACAATTATGTATGATATTATATATTCCTGTTTTTTATATCATCGCATATAGGTGTCCACAATTATAAAGCTTATGCTTTAAGATCTTAAAATATTTCCCTAAGTCTGCAGAGCTATCAAATAAACTTTACAATTAGCAAAATCATTGATTCTAGATGTTGTATTCCCTAGTGTCCCATTTTAGGCATGTCTATGCAGCTCTATCTAACAAATCTATCTGGGAGAATATGCAACCAGGATCCTCCTTAGAGGATGTTGAAACTTCATCTCACTTATTTTGGGCATGTTGTCAGGAGGTGCTGTCAAGTATGACCCTATGAATAACAAATCTGAACCCTGTGCTATCCTGTGCTATCCTCATAATTTCTGCCACACTTAAGCCCATTTTTGTGGTCTCTGTGTCACTCCTGGAAGCATTGTTGTTATTTCTGTGTGCCATAGAGTCAGAACTGACCCATGCTTGATCTAGTAGGTTTTCAGAAGCAGTAAAGAGCAAGTGAGGAATTGTTCATCCTTCACCAGAAGAGCTGATGGTGGATTTGAACAATATGTCTTTGAGACTGCAACACAGTTTCTTACCACTAGGCTACAAGTGCTTTGTCCCTAGAAAAAAGACATCATGCGTGGAAAAGTAGAGGATCAATGAAAGAGAAGACTCTCAATGAGATGGATTGACACAGTGACAATAGTGACACAGGGATGGATTGTCATGAGGTGGATTGGCACAGTGATAGCAATGGGCTTTAGCATAGTGGAGATTCTGAGGACAGTGCAGGTTAAGGCCATGTTTCAATATTGTTCAGAGGGTTCTTGTGAGTCATAGTAGACTCCACAATGACTAATAGCAACCAACAATACTACTTCTTTGACACTTCCTCATACAACATATCCTCTTTCTAACTGCATTGTCTTTGATTAGAACTAGATTATCAATCATGTTTATCTATGCATGTATATGTATTATATGCACTCAAATTAAATTATACAGATGCAAAATGAACCTCTTAACTGAAATTTTAGTTTCCTTGCATTTGAAAATGAAGAATGAGTTAGTATATCAGTCATGAATGTTACACATTTATTGTCTCCTTTGATTTTTTTCTTTCCTGATCACTAATAGCCATTAATGTCTATAGAAAAGAAAACACATTTACTAACTTGATAAGATTTAATTTCCTTAAGTATATTTTACTTTAACTGACATTGATTTTGTTACCAATAATAAAAGTATTTTCACATATTGCTTCCTGTAAATAACATCTTTATTAATATCAGGATCAATATTAATTAGAGTATCTTTCAAAATTATTCCTTCTTTTCTTTGGCCAACACCCATTTCAGAGGAAATAGGTATGGAATTACCAACATCCTTAACAGCAACAATTAAGTGATATATGTCTTTAGTGACACAATTCAGGTTTGAGATCCAATATCTAGAGTTTTATTCAAACATCAGATGTCAATGAAATAAGAACAAATTATTTCAAAATCCAGTATTAAAAATTCTTGTTAATTTACCTTATAAGGCTTTCCATTAACCAGGGCAGACAGAGCTGACCTGGGAATTTTGCCGGATCGAGTTTTGGGTAATTGTTTGACAAACACTGCATTTCGAAAAGCAGCTACAGGGCCAATGTTCTCTCTAACGTGTTTCACAATTTCTTCCAATACTTGCTCCTCTGTGATATTTATATCTAGGGAGAAAGTTCAAATGGTAAGCACTGAATTCACCCTGGTTAATCATCAAGAGCCCAGACAGGAAGGGCAAATACCTCTTACCTTTCCGCAGCACGCAGAGTGCTAATGGGACATGGCCTTTCAAAGGATCTTCCTTGCCAACAACAGCACAGTCTGCCACAGTACCATGTGATAGAACGGACTGTAATAAATAAATTTATTAATTCAGAAAATGGATCTGCAAATACTTTTATCTGTTATAATGTGTATTATCTATCTAATGTGTGTGAAAGAGATTTCGGTTGCGAAAACATGAACAACAGATAACCCCCAAAATCCAAGACTGAGAGCCTCAAATTAATTACAACCAGTTCATAACACAATTACTAGTAAAGAAGTAGTGAGTGATTAATATCTTCCTCTCAAACTTCAGAGTCACATAAGGATGCTCCATTGGGTTTTCTAGGGAACTGTAAATCTTCATGGCAGGGAACTGTTCATCTTTCTCCCTTTGTGTAACTGTTGAATTCAAACCACTGACCTTTTTAGCAGCACAACACACAAGGCACTAAGTCACCAGAGCTCTAGGGCAGTCACTGAAAGTTGACAATAATCAAGACAAATTGCTTAGCTAACCAGGAAAGGTAAGTAATTGCTTTTTAATCTGAATCATTTATTAATGAATCAAGGGGGGAAATGTATAATGTATGGAAACAAAGTACAATAGCCACTGGAGAACTGATCCTGTCGATCACACTTCAGTGATAGTGACCATTAGCACACCAACCAGAGGAAGCAGACACTGCCTTATGGTGAAATAGTAATTTTATTTTGGGAATATAAAAATGAACAATAACTATGGCAACTCATTCCTTGAGTGGTCTCACATTCAGAGACAATTTCACAGGATTTGCAAGAGGAGGAATCTCCTGGATGAGATGGGTTGACACAGTGACTATGAAAGTGAAGTCAGGTGTGTCAGGAATGGTGTGGTTGGCTCAGGATAAAGCAAGGGTCACAGTCATTTGTCCATAGGGTCACTATGAGTTGTACTTGAGTTGACACCACATAGCAACATCATCATCAACCAACTTGTGCAGTCTGAACGATCAATCATGCAATCAAGATTTGGTAACAGTAATTGGTGACTGGAATGCAAAAGTAAGAAGCAAAGAAGACGGATCATTGGTTGTGCCTGGAAAGAAATTTCTAACATCAGTTCATCACCACTGTCCTGAGGTCTTTTTCATATTGCTCATTATAACTTCAAATAGTTTAAAGCACAGAGTAAACATCCATCTGGAATCACAAGAATTCAGAGTTTAGTAACTGTAAGAAATAAAGAAGCTTAAATTATATTTAAAAAAATATTTCCACTAGCTTGGAAACAGTAGTAATACATACTCTAGAATATTTTCCTGAAAGATAAATATGTATTTCAAAAACTTTAAACCTCAGATAGTTAGAGAGAAAATGAAGATACTTGTCCCCAACAGCTCATTTGGCAATTCTAATGATTTCTTTTTTTCATTCATTCAACAGTTATTAACTGATTGCTGCTTATCTTCCAAGCACTATGTTAGGCTCAATGGTAAGCAAAAATGTTGTTGTTGTTCACTGCCATTGAGTTGAGCACAACTCATAGTGACCCTATGAACAAATGACCTGAAGCCCCTCTACAACTATTGTCACTTTTCAAAGTTCATAGAGTTTTTGGAGAAAAGTTGTTTAGGAAGTAGATGCCACTCCTGCTTCCGAACCTGCCTTGTCTAATGGTGTTTACATCAATAGGGGAAACAAGGACCATAATCATTAATGTCTAAACATTATAAAGGTACAAAAGCTAACACAATAAGCATTCTAAAGGTAAAAATATGAGTTATTTATGAGAGCCATTGCAAAAACAACCAACTTGGCTGCTGATATGCCTTCCTGAAGGAAATGACAGTAGGACTTGGGGTAAATGAGTAAGCATTGATCAGCCAACATTTTTTTATTTTTGCTACCTGTGGATAAATCCTTAAATGTCAAACTGAAACATAAGCCTTCCCAAGGACTTTGTCATTTCTAAATGAGGCTCATGATCACAATGAATAAATTATTATTTTAACTTAGTGTTCAAAAAGATACCACAAAAGAAGGGAAGAATCTTTTTCTGTTGGACCAATGAACAATATTTGTGTGCCAAGTGAAGAGTACACTAACTGAATCATTAATAAGTAAAATACAAAATATGTCTTGGCATCAGAAATGTACCATTTATCAGAAGTCTACTATTTGTACCATGTGTGGGGTGAGAGGGAGAGGATATCAAATAAATCACTTTCCTGTATTCTTTCCATATAAAATCTACGACTTATGTAGTTAACTGCCATGGAAGTTTCCGGGGGAAGAAAAAAGTGATTATAACCAAAAAGTAATTTTCTTCCACCACAATGAATAGATAAATATGTGATAATGGAGGAAAGAGTCTGTTTTTTCTTGCTTATGGGTTCTTAAAATTTTCAGTAAAAAATTTAATGGTTCTAAAAGATTTCATGTGGGTTCAATTATCAAAAGATTTTTTTCAACTGTTTATAAAACTTTCATTTTAGAAAATTGGGTTTGAATCAACACTCTCATCAGATCAAAAAATCCACTCTACAGTGAGAGGTTGTCTGAGAGAGTTAAGTGGGAAGAAAGAAATGTTATTTATGTACTCTGACTTAAGAACAGTCTAAGAAATTGTCAGAAAGATGGTGAATCTTCATCAGAATTCATCAACTTTACAACTATCTAAATCTAGTAGTCATCTAATTCTAGTAAAGCAATCTCCTTCTGTGTTGTTAACTGCATCTGAAAACCCACCAGAGGGTTAACTACGGGTCAGTTCCAATTTGAAGGTACACCACAAAAGTCTTATAATTCAGAGTAGCAATGAAATTTGCATGGAATCTTTTTGTTTTGTATACACAGATATTTTGGGAATATATATTATTTCAAGTAATTCATCTTCAAATAGCAAACAAAATCACTACTTACAAAAACAAACAATGACCTTTGCATCAGAACAGCTTTCAAAAGTGAAAAAGATATGAAAGCACTGCTCTAGAATTTCAATGAGGAATTTTAAAATTTGAGTTCTCACTAATACCTCTAGGATTACTTAACAAATTTAAAATTAAACTGTAAGTGACAGAGTGTAATCAGGAAGCAGATTTCTTCCCCATGTCTTTGCATAAGAAGCTTCTATCCCAGGAGGAAAAGACAATTGAGAAAGAAGTGTTATATACTGTTATGTGCCGTTGAGTCAACTGTGACACAAACAGTTTGAATCCTGCCCTGTCCTGAGCCAATCCCATTGTCTCCAACACACCTATCTTCATTACCCCAGTTACTGTGTCAATCCATCTCATGTAGTCTTCTTCTCTTGCGCCCCTCCTGGCAACATGATCAAAGTATGTGAAATGGAGCTTCAAAATCCTAGCCTCCAAGGAGCAACTTGGTTTCACCCACTCCAGGCCCAACCTCTTTGTTCTGTTGGCAGTCCGTGGTATGTTCAATTTCTTCTCTAGTACCACTTGCCAAAGGCATCAATTTTTCTTCTGTCACTCTTAGTCCAGCTCTCTATTGTGTAGTAAGTATTGACAAAGACTATGGCCTGAATCAAGCATATCTCTAAACATATCTGTAGACTGATTCATTACTCTCTAGCACTCTGGAAAGGTCCCTGACAGCAAGTTTATCCAACACAATTTGTCTTTTGATTCCCTGACTGCTGGTGACAATTGACTGTAGACCAGAGAAAGTTGAAATTGTTGATAATCTCAATCTTTTTTCCATCTACCATGGTGCTGCCACTTGGTCCAGTGGTTAGAATCTTTGTTTCTTAATGTTGAGATTCAATATATATTGAAGACTGCAGTCATTGGCATTACACAGCAAATGCTTGTTTCTCTTCAGTTTGGGCAAGCAAGAACATATCATCTTTATAATGGATGTTGTTGATTTGTCTTCCTTTAATACTGATACCACATTCTTCCTCATCAATCCAGCATCCTGAATGATCTAGACCAAATATAGATAAAAATGTATGGACAGGTTACATTCCTGATATAGTCCTTTCCTGATTTTGAACCATGTGATATTTCCTTGCTCTATTCTGATGACTACTCCCTGGTTCAAGTATAGATTTCACATAAGCACAATTGGGTGTTTATGGGATTTTCATTCTTCTCAAAGTAGCCATAATTTGTTGTGATCCACACAGTCAAATGCCTTGCACGGTCAATGAAACACAGATAGACATTCCTTGGGTACTCTCTTCTTTCAGTCAAGATCCATCTGACATTAGCTATGATGTATCTAGCTTCACAGCCTCTTATAGATCCAATTTGCACTTCTGGCCGTCCTCTGTTGATATTCCGTTCCAGTCACTTCTGGATAAACTTCAGCAGGATTTTGCATGTGATATGTGTGATATTGTTCGGTAATTTCCACACTGATTTGGGTCAGGGTTTTGTTTTCTTTAAAAATTATTTTATATTGGTTTGCTTACAAAGTTAATATACATTGTGTTTCACACTATTCTTCATTCATATTGTATCTCATATAATCACTCTCATTCATTATATTTTATAAAATTAATCACCGTTGGACTATGCCCACCATTACCTTGTCTTTTCAGATCCCTGCTAGGTCTTTCCCATTTCCTGTGCCCACTCTCTTCACCCACCAAATTGTGCAACTCTGTGATTTTGCCCCAACCCATCATGGACCCTTTACTCCCATATCTTCCTCCATTGGATCCTGGTACATGTTGTACTTGTTATTCTTCCATTTTTACTACAATGGTCTATGCAGTATTTCTCTTTATGGGACTGAGTTAGTTATTTTCTTTTGCACAAATAATATTCTGATTGAAAAAATTAATTTCAGTGGGGAAAACAGAAACAAAAATAACAAGAAATGTTATGTTTAAGATAAAGATAAGAAAAACTTTTAGAGAAAGTCACTTAAGTAATGGTCCACTGAAGCTTTAAAATGTGTTTTGATCTGTTTGCATTGGACAGCTTAAATTCTTTAACTTGCTGTTTGGCTTATTCAATTTAAAACAGTTTGGTGTTTCTGGCTTGGGAAAAGATGAATAAATATATTCTATCTTATCTTTCTGACTGATTTTAACCAAAAACTCAAGACACAGCCTTATGGTAAATTTTTACT